ACAAACAAAAGAAACTCCTTCCGCCTCCTTCTCCATCTATTTTATCTCTTTTATTTATTTTGTATTTTTATGTGTATTTAATTAGAATACACGGACAGCCCCTACACCCGTAGCAGCAAGCAGCAGCAAACGTCACAGCAGCAGCAGCAGCAGCAGCAGCAGCAGCAGCAGCAGCAGCAGCAAGAAAAGCAGAAGCAGCAGCAGGGCATCTTTACCTAGTCTCCTGCTGTAGCAGCAGCAGCTGCTACAGGAGCTGCTGCTGCGGCAAGCGCCGCTGCTGCTACTGCTGTTGGACTAGTAGTGTTGCTGCTGTTGCTGCTGCTGCAGTAGTTGCTGCTGCTGCTGCTGCTGCTGCTGCTGCTGCAGTAGCTGCTGATGCAGAAGAAACACCCAGCGTATCATTTGGATGGTTGCAAGGGGCCCACCACCTGAGGGGGGCCCCCCGGGGGGCCCCCCTGCTGAGCAGGGGAGCGGTGGCGCTGCTGCACCTTCTGCTGCTGCTGCTGCTGCTGCTGCTGCTGCTGTTTCAGGAGCAGCAGCAGCAGCAAGACAAAGCGTTTTGCAGGTAGGAGCTATAAGAATAGGTGGTAGTCATATAGATCCAACAGCAGCAACAGCAGCAACAGCAGCAGCAGCAACAGCAGCAACTGCAGCAACAGCAACAGCAGCAGCAACAGCAGCAACTGCTGCTGTTGCTGGAGCAGCAGCAGCAGCAAGAAAGAGTATACTAACGCAGTATAGAAATAGCTTAAGCAATTCAGACACGGCAGCAGCAGCAGCAGCAGCAGCAGCAACAGCCCCTGCTGCTGCTGAAGATGCTTCTGCTGTTGCTGCTGCTGCTGCTGATGGCCAGGGTCGTGCTGCAACAGCCCCTGCTGCTGCTGGTGCTGCTGCTCCTGCTGCAGCAGGAGCAGCAGCAGCTGCTGCTGTTGCTGTTGCTGGTGCAGCAAGAAAAAGTATAATGCAGCTAAAACCAGCAGAGATATCCAGTTCTGCTGCTGCTGCTGCTCCTGCTGCTGCTGCTGCTCCTGCTGCTGCTGCTGCTGCTTCTGCTGCTGCTGCTGCTGCTGTTGCTGGAGCAGCAGAAAGGGCAAGAGGAACCTTAATAATCAGAACCTCCTTGCTGCTGCCGGGGGGGGGCTCAAGAGCCAAGCAGCAGCAGCAGCAGCAGCAGCAGGAACAGCAGCAGCAGCAGCAGCAGCAGCAGGGGCAGGAACAGCAGGAGCAGCAACAGCAGCAGCAGCAGAAACAGCAGCCGTCACAAGATGGCGAACAGCAGCAGCAGCAGCAACAACAACAGCAACCATCATCAGAAGGGGAGCAGCAGCAAGTGCCTGAGCTGGAACAGCAACAGCAGCAGCAGCAGCAGCAGCAGCAGCAGCAAAAGCAGCAGCAGCCGATGCAGCAAGCTGTGGAGCCTTCAGAGGACCTTCAGCAGCAGCAGCAGCAAAAGAAAAAGAAGCAGCAGCAGCAGGAGAAGCAGCAGCAGAAGGAGCAGCAGCAAGAGAAGCAGCAGCAAGAGAAGCAGCAAGAGAAGCAGCAAGAGGGTCAGGAAGAGAAACTGCAGCAGCCGCAGCAGCAGCAGCAGCAGCAACAACAGCAGCAACAACAGCAGCAGCCGCAGCAGCAGCAGCAGGAACAAAAACAGAAGAAGCAGCAGCAGCAGCAGCAGCAAGAGCAGCAGCAGCAGCAGCAGCAACAGCAGCAGCAGATGGAGCTACACGATGAGGCACAGACACAAGTCAGAGGGGACAGCAGCAAACAGCAACAGCAGCAGCAGCAGCAGCAGCAACAGCAGCAGCAGCAGCAGCAAGAGCAGCAGCAACAGCAACAGCAACCACAAATGCAGCAGCAGCAAGCCAACAGTGCAGCAGCAAGACGTAGAAGTTCTCTGGAGGCTGCTGCTGCTGCTCTTCAGGCAGCTGCTGCTTCTGCTGCTGCAGCAGCTGCAGCAGCAGCACGGGCTGAGGAGGCAGCAGCAGAAGGAGATTCAGATGCAGCAGCAGCAGCAGCAGCAGCAGCAGATGGAGATGAGTCCCTAGACAGGCTGCTGCAGGAGCTGGATCTGTGGCAGCAGCAAGTAGGGCTCGAGAGCAGCAGCAACAGCAGCAGCA